CAGTGCAGCAGAAAGTAAACCGTATGTTGAAGAAGTTTTAAATTAAAAAATCTTATGCATATTCTCAACTTCAAACAAAGGTTGATTTGTTTTCTACAAACGAAAAATATTTTCGTTGCTTCCATCAATGAAAAATGCATTAATGAAAACAAATTTCCCATGGACCTTTGATGCCATCTGAAAATAAGGAGAGAAATTGCTGTTCCTATTCAGATGTTGGTTTCTATGACGCAAGCTGTCACTGACAATGATGTTCCATAGCATATATTTATCTAGCGCTTAAATATCCTGACCAGGTTATAAAATTTGACTAATATCTCCTGTGTCACACACAAAAATGTCAGGGTCACTTCTATTACAAGAACCCAATGACAATTCCTTGCGTGTAATTTGTTCATGCATCTTTAAATGAAATGCAATTCCCCCCACCTCCAGTGTCCACCACGGTAATGGACAGTAATTTCCTACACTTAACTTGATACTATTCTTACATTCCAGAATAACTCCTATAATGCTAGTGTTTCGATTAACTGAAATCACTTACACTGTATTTTTGACATCGAGGGAGGATGATCACTGTTACAATGAATAGTAACATATTAACCCCACATACTCCCTTAAGATGAGAAAAATAAATAATGTATTACTAAAGTCAAATGAAACACCTTTCAAAAAGACATCAGTAAGTCATTTGTATAACTTCATGTTCATTGTCAGCTGCATCACAAAAGCTGAGAAATCAGGTTAAAATGTATTTTTTGATAATTAATCACCTTTCAATCCAGCAGCCATATTTTTTCTGCTTGCCCACTGTTTTTAATGGCTCTGGAAAATAATTTCCTCCTGTTTATTTGCGTCCTTTTCTGTGAACCAGAACTACTGATGTTATCAGGATAGACTTTAGAACAAAGCTCATTAAATATTGTTAGCCTAACCCTGCAGTGCCTAAATGACTAAAGTTCCCTTCAAAGTTAATGTGAGGTTTCTCTATGAGAGAGAAACCATTATTCATTATTATTGCACTGCACTATTCCTCATTATTGCAGACACCATTAAGCATGGTGCGCAAATACACAGTAAAAAACTGCAGAGCATCAAGAGCAAGTCCCAGAAAGCCACAAAAATATTTAATACTGGTGATGCTTCTCTCCACCATGCTAAAAATCTTTATAATGGTATGAACTTGATAGAGATATTGGCTGAGAATTTTTATTGTTAGATTTAGCGTACTTCCAATCAAGAGTAAGATTTTCTGTCTTAGGAGAAATGAATGAAAAACAAAAGTTAAAAAAATACTATCGTCTCCCCTAATCTTTCAGTTTAGTTTAGCTATAGAGAGAAATAGTCCTTTGCTTCACCAGCATATAAAAGGCCACATGGAAAGGGACATAACCCAGCACAAGAAAACTAAAAGCAGAAAATGTGCAAGGATGAACGATACATTTATTTCTTAGCTGGGAGCGTTAATAGCACTACTATCACGCCTGTTTGAATGGAAGTGAAACAAAACATTCAGTAGGTTTCTAATAAGAAGTTACAGACATTTATACAAATAGACCGTATAATTCATTAGCTAGGACAGCATTTAAGAGCTATTGGTCCTAGTATTTCGGTGTATAATGCAGTCACCATCTGGGCCGGTAAGCTATCTTTCCGAAGGCTGCCAGTCACAAACGATGATGTGTTTTGCGGTGAGAAGCTTTCAGGTGTTAGCCCCTTTATGGTGCAAGAGCTGAGCAACACACAGGGCCCTTCGGATCCCATGTACACCTGGCACGGCAGAGACACAGCAGACAAGAGCCAGCCGTGCTCTGAGGATCCAGCTACAAGACTTGGCACAAAACCCAGGCTGTGGGCATAAAGGTCATGCTGTGACTGAAGCTCAAAAAAGCAGCTCAAAGAGAAGGGCTTGCAGCCTGTGGTAGCCCACTCTAGCTCCCTGGGCCATGTAGCCAGCACCATGGGCAGCATCAGCCCTCATAGCCGCCTGGGATCACAAGTGTCTCTGGGGACCATAAAGGCATCACACATCCCACACGACCACAAGTGCGGCCACATACCCTGAAAGGGAGAGCATCACCCCCATGGATTCCCTTGGTAGTTTTGGCACCTTCTTTTAACAAGCTACACAGCCCTTAGATGCAGTCTAATATAGAAATGTCAGTATTCCTTTGCCATCTTTCGCTTTCTATGTTACAGGCTTAGGGAGAAGAGCTCATATTTCAGTGTTATGGTTTCTGCAGGAACAGTGGTTTTGGTTTATGTTCGTCTCCCTGAGACTGATGTTTAACTGTTTGGATGCTATTTAGACCTAGGGAATCTGGACCACTTTAAAAAGGAATAAGTTACAGGCTAAGCAGTGCATAATCAGAAACCAAACCAAAATCATTTACAAGAACAGCAGCTCTATGTCTTTCTTCTTTTTTTGATAAGAAGCCTTTCCATTTCAAGAATGTTGCTGTTTAAATCATTTGGAGTCACATGCACCACCACCATACATAAAACCACCCAATGCCTTATGGGTGAAGTTGTTTTTGGCAACCAATACTGTTTCATCTATTCTGTCTGTATCCTTTATATTTTACTGATTTAGGATTAACTGGATCATTAAAATAAGGGGGGTTTGTTTCTAGAAATTGTTTGTCACAGACGGCGGCTGATTGAACAGGCCTAGCACTCAGACAAGAACCTCTCAGAAATCTATACCAACTAAATCTTAAAATTAAAGTCAAGGACGATAGAGAAACTTTCTGGTTAGTCATTTGAGCTTCTGTTTAGGTCAGTACTAGTCTGGATAGTAGTCTGGATTAGAAGCCATGATGTATTGCAGACCCTGCTGAAAAGTAATTAAAGTTTGCTCTAAAAATGTCTTACTGACAACAAAGGTCCAAGGTACAAGAGAGGGAATTCAGTATTCAATATTTTTCCAAATAAAAGCATTCAGGATTTGATCCAGACCTGGTGAAAGCATTTGAGGTCCTTCTACTGACTGTACAGGGCGTTGGATTATCTTTTAAGAGTGGCATAGGGGTTATCAAAACTAAGATTCCTTTTGACAGAGAAATATCAGATTGAGGGATTAGGGACCAACAATAATGTGAATCTGTAGGATTTTTCTAACTATTTAAATAGTAAAATGCTATTAGTAAATGTTTGCTTTTGTATTACATTTTCATATCGTATTACTTTCTTATAATTCTTTTCACATGAAAATTTCCAGCTGCTTGACAAACATTAATCAAGGTTAATTGAATAAACAATATAGAATCTCACTGTCTGAATCAAGGCCAAATATCTGATTTGCAAATTGATAGCAAAAATGGGAAGAGAGAGTTGTAATTAATTTTGTTCCAAGTTCTTGAACTGATGCCTAGCACATTTTGGACATCAATACTATAGTTTTGAACAGTTTTGGTTTTACGGTTACAGAAGTACGTTTAAAAAAAATGCAAACTCTGCTAAAAAGGCTGTACATAGACAGAAAAATGGGATCTAAAGTTGCCAGATAATAAAATCTTGGACCTTTTCTGCTTGGCAAGCTCACATATAATGCAAATTGATTTTTATCTGTTTGGAACAATTTTTACTTATCATCACTTTCAACCATCACTTTGCTATAAAGACCAATTTGCCGATACCCAAAGCCATTTGTGAATTGTTTGTGTGCAGAACATATATTTGGCCTCACTTTTAAAGATCTCCCTCTAACAAGACCCTGATAAAAACCATCCGTATTGTGCAGATGCTCTACAACTGGACCTGACTGGAAAAACAACTGAATTTCTATGGTCTGTGGCTCCAGGATGGCCAGCCATGCCAGAGCGCCAAGGTCCTCTGCCATGGGGATGGGTGTCTGAAGTGCCTGGGAACCCACAGCCTTTCCTGCTTGCTGGAAAATCCACATTTTGAAAAACACAACCTTCTCTTTTTGGCCAGCTATTAAAAAAAAAAAAAAAGTTAGCCATGAGTGTAAGCTCTGTCTTCTGATAGAGAAATGAAGATTTATCAGTAACAGTGAAAAAGACCATATGTAAAGACCCAGAAAAATACGCTTGGTTGATCCCTTCAAACTTACCTACAAAAAGGAACAGTACCACACACTTGGTCTGATATGGCATAACCTAGAATATGGTTTCTGATGTTTGGTTTGAGGAATACAGTTTTGGTAAGTGATGCCATGTGGTTCAGTCGCTTTTTACAATGATTGCCACTGAAAAGGTATCAATGTCTATTTGGTATTCATCTCATTGGAGGAATTGATTAGGGAGGAAAACGTTAACACTTCCAAGATCCCCATCTCTTTCTTTTTCTTCTTCATGGAAATTAAGATGCTGGTATGGACCGCTACCAAAGTTATTGATCAACCAGGAATAACAGAACCAAATGATCTAAGGTGCAGAAGCCACATGGGACATGTAAGTGTGATGTAAGCATATTTAACAACCAGGTGCCATTGCCATTTCACTCCAAACAACTTTTTGATTGGACCTCCTCACTGAAAGAGAATACAAAAACAAAGAGGGCATGGGTTTTCCAAAAAAGTGCCCCTGTCAATTGAAATTTGGCTGCAGGGAACTCCTTTCCTTGCTGAACCTCTTTGGAAGTACTCATACCAAACAGTACGTCTGGTTAGCAAAACTCACTGTGTAAATTCAGAATGTGAATTCCCAGCTAAGTCTTCTTCAGTAAAGGCCTGCTAACAGTAAGCCCTCTGAGGGAGAGCAGAGGGGCTTCCTCAGTGATTAATGCAAAGCGTATATTCTTGCAAAGGCTCGTCTCACTGAAGAACAGCCTCCAAACCCTTCCCCCCATTAGCAGTAGGTTTGCAAATGACTTTATTGGAGGGAAAAAAAAGAGAGAGAGCAAATAAGATTGTATTTTATACTTGGATTGTTATGACAGTCCAAATTCTAAGTGTCTTAAGCCCACATTCATTGAATCTGATTCTTTCCACACTCACTCCAATATAACTGCTCTGAATTCGTTGGAGTTACTGCAGACTTTTAAAAATGTAAATGTGATGAGAAGCCATCTCAGTCTACTGGCACTGTGCTTCAGAAAGATAATTTTATGTTTTCAAGATCTTTATTCCAGGAGAGGAATGTACATGAAAAATTGTTTAACAATCTAATCTACCGAGTCATTTCCATAAGAATTTGATGGCAGTGACTGGGATGTTTCACATGGAGCAAAGAGACATTCATATTCTGTAAAAAACAAAGGTGACTGGAAGTTGCCCTGAGAAAACCTAATGCAGAACTCAAGAAGCTGCAAATACGTCTGGGTCATACATCTATCAAAAGCAAGTGAAATGTAAGTAACAGGCGATGCTTCAGTCTTGCTGGAGATGGAATTGTGCTGCTCTGATCATTGAATCAGAGCAAGGAAAATAGATACGCATTTTCTATTGCTTCATCTGTAGTAAGTTAGACTGGTAGCCGAGATAGTCAAATAACTCAACATGACCAGGATTTATGCAATTGGCAGTTAAAGTGGTTCTTGAGCAGTCACTGCTGTGAGTAATGAGTTTTGAGCTGGAACAAAATAAACCATTCTCAGACAATTTCTCTTGTTTACCTGCCACAGTTTCCCGTTCTGTTTCCCCTACTCCAGGCAGCTCTAAACAAACTTCTCAACAGATTTCTTGCTGTATAAATGTAGAAGCTAGTGGTAAAATCCTGGCTATTAAATGCAATGGAAATTTTGCCTTTGGCTTCAAAGTAATCAGAATTTTATCCTGAAACTGATGATGGGATTACTGCTGACATTTACTGTCTTGGTTGAACTGCTGTTCTTTTTAACTCTTTTTGACATCAAGGGAAAAAATATATGTGTAACAACATTATTTCTCTTTTACTGAAAGTGCTTCCTGCATTATTGCTTGCTAAAGAATTTTTTAAACTCTTTGCATATCCAGCCGAAGAACTTACAGTGCGTTGGTAAGCAGAGCTGCAGAGATCTGAAAATAATCGCAATGTAGCCATTATGCGCACCGTAATTGTGGCATATCACTGCACAGGCTTTGAGTTACAGCACTGAACTGAATGGGGCAAGACATTGCCATGTTGCTTACATGGCAATTCCTGGTGCCTGGTGGACTCCAACTTACTGCAAAGTGCCTCTCAAGCTCTTCATCAAAGGTGAGTACAGGTGCTGAAAAATTCTAGGCAGTACACTGATATTGAAGAGCAGCATGGTTAAGAAGAACAAGCACAGAGATGCGAGATGAAAACTGCTAATTCCCATTTGGCCTTGGATCATCGTGTAGTGTTTGGCAGATTATTTCATTTCAGGCTTTGATTTCTCCGTGTGTAATGCAAAGGTAACAGTGTCCATCTATTCCATTCCCTCAGATCTCACAAGGAATATTTGATGTTTGTATAACACTGCAGATGCATACTCATTTGTTTTATTTACGGGATTTTTTTCCGAATAAAGCTTACATTCAGCCACATTGTGTAGTCTAGAAGCATTGAACATCTTCTTGATGTAACACCAAGTTTTTTTTTTCCAAAGCCTTCTTGGTTTAGACTCAATTTCTGCAACACTCTCATATCACAGTAAAAAAGCACTGCTTGACTATACATGGGCCATTAGAAGTCCTGGTGCTGACCAGGACTTTCCAGTATTAGACTTTACTCTTTGCTTTACACTTAGCTTTATGCTTACTTATTTTGCACTTTATACTTACTTATAACCATTGCTAGATTTTACACATTTGGATTGAAATTCTTTGTGCCAGGTATATTCTGAGCTATATTTCATGCTTTAAAAAGTAAAATAATAGTCTTTCTGTCATATTCCAGACCTCCATACTTCAGAGAGGGGTTTTGAAGAAGGAAGATGCACAGCCTTGATGTGAAGAGGACTTTCGATGGTTCCCAGGAATCCTGCCCATAACATCAGTTCTCACAACTGACCACACTGCGTGGAGGCAGCCTTGAGGATGAATGAGCATGCTTCACTCAAGCTGCATGGACTGAACAGGACCCTTCTCCCGGGTGATTCTCCCAGCACCTCTGGCTACCAGAGTGGCACAGAAGCTGCACAAGGAGATTGTTGTCTCCATCTTGCATACGCCTTATGAAAGTGTGATAATAACAACTCACTTTACAGGAATGTTTTAAGTACGCTTATGTGGGTGCATGAGTGAGTATGTGTATATGTGCAGAAAGACAGGATGGATCAGTCTCTTTGAAGTGCTCATTCTCTCAAGCAAGCCTAGTAAAAACAACAGAACAAACAATCAAGTAGCCACCGACTAAATCAACATGGCTGAACATATCCATGCAAAAATAATATTTGAGCACATAATTAAATTGTAGCATAATATCCAGATGTAAGGGGAGTTGAACTAAAGCTGAATGGTCCATCTCATTTCTACCATTTCCTAATTTTTGAGGGCTTGACTTTGCAGTCTCAGTATTTCTTTAGTGTTTTCTCATTTGAAATAAATTATTTGCTTCCGTAACATTCTGTAGATGATTCATGGCAACAGACCCATCGTCTCTGTATTTGTACTCAACATGTTGCTACAAGTGCTAGTTACAGGCAGCACTCATTGTCTTGTATGTTACACATTTACTTAAAGGTCAAAACAGAAGGGAGAGCATTATAATGGCCTGGCTGGTTGATGTCAGATTTTATACTTTGCAGCTTCATTAGATGGCATTACATCACAGGATACAGTCAAGCAAAGCCTGAATTGATCCTACTTGACTGAATTCTAAATGAATGGAAAATGACTACCTGGTTTGCCAAGGAACAGCAATAATGGCATGACAAATCTGTGATTTCTATGAAGATTTATTTCTTCATAGCACTTCTTTTCAGTTTATGTGTTTCAGCTGTGGTCATGGAATTTGAAAAACGAAGACCCTTTTGTAAGATGATTTTTCAAGCAAATTGAAAAAATATATTGATTTCTTGGTGCGTAATTTTAGGGTTTTTTCATTTCTTTTACAGAATTATGCCTTATTCCAAGTGCAGAAATCTCATGGCATTTTGGAAGCTGATTTTATTGCATTGATAATTGCCAGTTATCAAAATGCCTCTCCCATCCTTCCCCTGAAAGAGATGGGACCAAAAAATATTGGGCATTTGTGTTGCAGGAATGTATCTGGAGAGGATGAATCCTGTAATGAGTTGGTGTTCAGGACACAATATTAGGATTCTGGTCTTCTGGATCTTGCTTCAGGCTGACTTTGAGCAGTCCTTCTCAACTTTAGTTCTGATTTTACCCTTTCCCAGAAAAAGTCATAGGAAGGCTACTGTAGCAAAAAATCTCTTCAGAAAACTTCAGGAACCAGCTTAATCTCTGAATGCAGACAAGATAGGACATCTCAGTTTACTACTGTGATCAACATAACCCTTTAGATATCTGAAGAAGTTCTGTGTAATAAGGTATACATTGTATTTTTTCACACAAGTTCTTCAGTGTATGATGAGCAGTCAATTTTCTTCTTTCGCTCTCCGACATTTTCTTTCAGGTAGACCTTGACAAAGTAAAAGCATAGTGTCCTGAAAACAGCTGTGTTCAATACATAAACTGGGAGATCCATTTGTAGAGAGTCCCATAAATACACAGATCTGGCTAGGAAAGGGCAAAATAACCCAACTCTTTTGACAAAACCTGCTTTTATGTAAAATTCCACAAGGAGATTTGTTCTCTTGAGGTGAAAAGTAGTTTATTTTGGAACTGAGGAAGCAACACTTCTCAAAGCTCTTGGCATGGCAGGGGCTCTGTTGCAGAGACCTTCTGCCATGCCTAATGGACTCTATCCATTAGGCAATCACTCCATGGCCAAAATCAGTGTGTTTGCACATGCACATGCTGAAGCTCTATGTTTTCTTTGCTGATCTTTCCTAAAATATGTTTTAACTGGAGTGGATGAAAAAAAGGAATAAGATGTCCTCCTGTCATGTCCTGTGGGTCTGCTCTGAGTAGTCTGGGATTTATTAATATGAGGTTAATGATATCTCTTATGCTATACTTTCCTCCTTTTTCCATTTCAGATTACTCCATCTCCAAAACAGATTACTCAACTAGCCAGACAAGTCTAACCTTCCAACATTATTGTGTGATTGAAGCAGAGTCTGAGTCCACAAACCTGGCTACAGACTTGCAAACTTTGGGTACAAGAATAAATGAAGGGGTACCATGACCAGAGACAGCAATGCCTGCTCTGCAGCTGCGGAACGGGAGAACATGCCAAGAGGACGTTGCCAGGAATCTCACTGCTTAGCCCTGAGAGTACGGACTCTTTCAGGAGAGAGCTTGAAGTGGAGAAAGGAAAGCAAATAGGTCAGCAGAGAAGAAATGAGAGTCCTATAGAGTAATTCGGTTAATCGGTAAGAAAGGCTTTGAAGTTATTAATAAACAGAAGAAGAGAAGAAAGAGCACTAAAATCTACAACTGCTGTAGAAAGGGTGGCTTATCTTAAGTGTAAAATAGTGGAAGTTTTAAATTAGTGGGAATTAGGACCAGAATGGAGAAGTAGGCTTTGCTTGTAATGTAAAGTATTTTTGATTATAGAACAGATTACAAATTTCAGTCTGGAAATAACAACTATTTTGGCCCTCCTTTTCAACATTCTTCTCCTTGCATCATTCAGTAACGTCAGTTACAAGAACCTTTGTTGGCTGTTATTTGGCTGGCTGGCTGTCAATATGTATTTACAATAAAGATGACTTGAAAGGTTTAGGGATTGGATTTGATTCAAATAATCATCCAAAAGTCTGAAAGTTTATCCTTCCTTCTGCATCCCTCACGTCTGAAAAAGAGAAAAAGCCCTTGGAAATTTCACAAAGATAGCCCATCTCTGAGATTTCTGCCACTTCTGATTCTGCTCTCAAGAGAAAACAGGAGGAAAAAAATCCATGTCAAAAACTTTAGAAACATATAAAGGTTTATTTCTTTTCAGATATGAAAATTCTTTACTTTAATTAATTCAAGTTAATGACCCTATCTTTAGTCCTGAGGGCACAAGCAGGAAAAATCTAGACCGTAGATATCTGAAAAATTGAAGAAAGAAAATGAGATAAAGGGAATTTAGAAATTAGAAAAAGAGAAGACCATTTAGGAGCTGGTGTTTGTTCGTAAATTAGATCCCTGCTCAGGGCTCTAATATCAAGTTACAGAACCATGGCCACATGGTGTGAAGTATGGATCTGCTGTAAACTCACTCATCAAAATAGTCTGATTATTCAGCTTTATATCAAAGCCTTCATGTCAGACTGAACATCATCTGTCCTCCTGAAAATGGCCTGAAGCTTGTGAAAAAGGCCCCAAGTCTGTATTATGTCCTCTATTTTATGCACCAGAAATACATCTGTGTGCCAATGCCTGACCTAATTCAAAACTATGTGCTATGGAAATGCACAAAATGAGACAGAAAATGGGGAAATGGCCAAAGTAAGGAGAAAAATCTTTTGGGTTAAAGGTATAGAGGAGATTGCTAAAGTATAGAGAAACAAAGAAAATAGTGGTTTTGAATTCACTAATTAGTTGCTTCAACAATTTGGTTTTCCTCCTATTCTTTCATCAAATAGCGTGCTCGCTAGTTAGGTGACAGCCACAAGTCTGTGAAACAAGAAGTAAAAAGCTGTGGCAAAGATCATATAAACTGAAATCACAAAGAGACCTATGTATAGCAGAAAGGGTTTAAAAAAATAAATAAAGGAGACCTGATTTTGAACAACCTTTTAACTCCTAAATGGTACTGCCCTACCTGTGTAGTAGGAGCAGAGGTTTATGGGCTCCTGTACTGTGACTTTGCTGGGGCACTAGTATGCCATATACTAGGATATGTGTACATATACATATCCTAGTGTGCCCCAGAAATGAACTAAACAGACTAAAAGAGAAGGAAGGGGAGAGGAGAGAGTCCCAGGACCTAGCAGCTGTGGGATTCCTTTTTTCCCACAGAGAATATTTTTGACCTTTCCTCATGTAGAGAAGATAAAATATATAGGAGAAAAGTTTGGTGTCTTATTATATTAAGCCATAAATACAGTATTTTTCCACTTAGCTTTCCAAACTAGAGCTACATTAAGCCTTAAAAAATTATTTGAATGGTAAGGTATCAATGCATGCCATCAGCAAATTAGATTTATCACAGATTAATTCTAAGTCATGAAAACCATTTTTATTTGGCTTAAAGTTTAGTGGCTAACCTATTGCAGTTCAGTTTCATAACAGGCAAGGTCATTTTTCATGAGAAATTCTTAGCATATTGCTTTCCTGCTTTATTTCAGAGATGTGTACTTCTCTAGTATTAATATGAGGTCCAAAAGGAGAGATGGGATGAAGAATTAGGGAAGCAGATATGAAAATGTACCTTTAAAAGTTCTGGAAATAAGTCCTGCTGTATTGGGTTACAGGAGTCTGCCAGAGGTAATGGTACAATGTACCAATTCACAGGGCAAACATCTGTGCTGAGTTGTTTTCATGCCCTGCTGATGAGAAGATGCCTCCAGTGAACTGGGAGGTAACTCAGCATGAATAAGGATTACAGGATCAACACCATATTTATAAGAGCCTTGCTCCATTATTCAGGAGATACAATACAAGGACTATCACTATAATTTTTCTGCTCAGACACTGCAGAACCTATAGGTCCCTCTACATGTAGGAGATTATCCCTCTGTGTTTTTAAGATGTCAAAACTTTTTTTGCCATCAAATAAAAGTCTTTGCAGATATAATTGTAGTTTATCTCTACCTCAACTTTGCATTCACAAGTGGAATGAGGACCTGATTAGATAAATACTCTGTTTCCTTAAAGGAAAATCTAGTCTCACAGCAGTACCTGAATCACCTAGCTAAGGTTTCACTGGGAAGAGCTGGCAGAGCTCTGGAGTGGTCTGAGCAAAGGGTGCTCTCTTTTATAAACATGAGCAACTTGACCGCTGGTGGTGGGAGACGAAAATGCAGGGAATTTCCTGGTCTCTCACTCAGCAGCCGTCGTGGGGGAAGAAGTGCTTGGAAAAAGCAGCTACAGAAGTGGAATATTTTCTGTATCTAAGAGGTGTAGTACTATTATGGGTCTGTGGTCATGGCTTCTCGTGTTTTCTGTATTCCACATCAAAATAAAATTTAAAAAAAAAGGCAGGAACAAGACTGCAACTTTTGCTGTTTTCTTCCTCCACTTCTCTGCCCTCACAGTGAAGTGTCTCTGCCTCATGTAGATAGTTCTCTTAAAACCTCTTTCTGATAGACAAATGTCTAGTCACTATTTTTTCCCCCTGTAAAAAAAAAACCTGCTGTGAACCTCCCTCACACTCCCTGAGTACACCTCAAAACCCTGACCACCTGGGGTCCTCTTTCTCTCCTATATGTACATACCAGACTAGCCTTTGACCATTACCATGCCCACACCCATGTACCCCACTGATCTCCCTCTTCCCGTCCAGTTCCTCTGGGCCAGTCAGCTGTTTCCACTGGCATCTTTTGCTAATCTTTGCATAATATCTTTTTTAAGTGTCTGGGACTGGGAGGTAAAAAACACTCAGCTGCCTATATATAAGGAATATTTCTTCCGAGCTGCCCTGGAGCACCCCCATAGGCCATTAGCCACAGGGACTCGCAAGCAACTCCAGCAAAGCCATGGGGAACAAGGAAAATGGTGGAAAAAGAGCCTGAGCCTCATCTGCTGTTGCTCTGTGCTCTGCATCTTCTTGCAAGAACGCCTGTGCTTTCCCTGTGCAGGGTACACCACTCTTGTCACTGAACAAAAAGCAGGAGCACAACTGAGCAGGAGGCTTTTGGATTACTAAAATATCTGGCCTTTATTGTATCACTCTCTGTGATACCTGTTAGTATTTTAATGACTTCATTTCTGAATCCATAGCAATGTCAAAAAT